GAGGCCCTCCTTGCCCCACTTAGGCACAGACCACCACACCCTCTCCTGTTTTCTCTCCTAACTCCATATAAATGCCACAAGCAGAATAAAGGCAGCCAATTGCTGTTGACCCATTGCATTGAAGTGTCTACTCTGACACAATTCTTTCTTTATTCCCGATCCACATATTCTTACTCCCTGGCTGGCACTTAAACATGTGGGTCCTAGAGACCCAGATTTCATGAATAAACACATGGAAGAAGCAATATGAAAATTCCTCCTAGAGAACAATATGGATGGCCTTGTGGGTTCCTTACCTGTCAGTCTTGTTCCCAAAAAAGTGAGAGAAAATGTTAAGAAAAACGATACTATGATGTGTTCTTGCTCAATCTTCTTTAAGATTTTTGGTGTGTTCACACAGTTTAGTGTTGTGGGCCAGACTGTCCAAATGAAGAAAGAAAAATATTTATAGTCTATACATGGTGACTTGTGTAGAAAAATTTTTTTTTTTTTTTAGAAAGGGAGAGAGAAGGGGGGAGGAGCAGAGGGAGTAGGAGAGAAAGAGAATCTTAAGCAGTCTCCATGCCCAGCATGGAGCCTGACTTGGGTCTCCATCTCACAACCTTGAGATCAAGAGTTGGTCCTTAACCGACTGAGCCACCCAGGCGCTCCTTGTGTAGAAAACTCTTAATGTGGGGCGCCTGGGTGGCTCAGTCGGTTAAGCATCTGCCTTCAGCTTGGGTTATGATTCCAGGATCCTGGGATTGAGTCCCATATTGGGCTCCCTTCTCAGCGGGGAGCCTGCTTCTCCCTTTTGCCCCCCCACCACGCTTGTGATCTCTCTCTCTCTCTGATAAATAAAATCTTAAAAATAAAGAAGACTCTTTTTTAAAATTTTTTATTTATTTTAAAAAGATTTTATTTATTTATTCATGAGAGACAGAGAGAGAGAGACAGAGGCAGAGGGAGAAGCAGGCTCCCTGCAGAGCAGGGAGCCCGATGCGGGACTCGATCCCAAGACCCTGGGATCATGATCTGAGCCGAAGGCAGACGCTTAACCGACTGAGCCACTCAGGTGTCCCAATAAAGAAGACTCTTAATGATTAACAATTGTAAAGCAAAATCGTGTGTGTGTGTGTATGTGTGTGTGTGTGTGTGTGTGAGAAGGGGATCTAAGTTCATAATGATAAAATCCAAAGAACTGTTAGTGAAACTTCTCTTTCCAGATTCTCTCGTTCCCTTCTCTGTCCCTCAGCTTATTAGGCATGTATGTCTACGACGTACTTACCAGCAGTGTGTCCCAGCAGGAACTCTGTAGGATGTAAAAGGGATATGCTATACTATAAAAGTGCTTTGGAGCTTGTCAATAAGGACTGAGTTTTGGGGAAAGAATAAACGAAAGTAATATTTATCAATTAGATAACATTGATTTAAAAGCTAATTCTTCTAGTCAAATTTCAAGAAGAAAAACTCAATAAATGTTGCAAATCAGCCATAAATGGTACCAGGAGAGTATGATTTTGTGTGTGTGTGTGTGTGTGTATTTTAAGTCTATGTTTTGAATAGAAATTTTAGACACTAAGGTGGTATGAGTTAAGTACTAAAAAAATTTAAGATGGGCTGGTAGCAGACGTTTTGGTTTGGGTCACCAATTTAAGGAATACTTGAAATTTCTTAACGTTTTTGGGTTTGCTTTGCTAACACCAGCAAAATATTGAATGAACTCTTAAAACTGGGTGTGGAAATTTACTGAGTCATGTATTTTACAGAGGACAAAAACTTAGAGCTGTGGATTCCTAGATAAGTGTACTTTTGATTAAAGTTTTAAGAAGCGCTTCAGTATTTATTATGATAACGGCATATGGACTGAGGCAGTGATGGGTGACAGCACATAAAATCAAAGACAAATCAAGCTCCTTAAGAGCCAAATACATCCTGCTTTTCAAAAATTATGGCATGTGTTAAACCCTATGAAAAATTCTGCCCACTCATTCTTCTATTTCATGTTTTTTTCCCAAGTGGAAGAAATACATTAATTTTACTCTATATACTATGTGTTATAATTACTGAATACAGTGTAACAAATATAAACCCCAAAGAGCCAAAATAGTTAAATATTTTATAGTGTCTCTAGATGGTAAAAGAAAAATTTATTCAGTTGTACATTTTATGAAAATCTGAGGAAGTGAGTTGTGTCCTCCAGAGCGTACTTTCAAGGAAGGTGAACGATCTGCCTGCTGCAGTCCTGAAGGTCGTTCACAGAGGGATGGCCACAGTTGCAAGACTGGCCAAAGGAAACCTCAGGACCACTTCTGGGGATTTTGTACGGCGGGGAGATGAGATAGAAGGCCTAGAGAGGGGGTCCTGGGTTCCTGTGTATCAGTGAGAGGCTCAGTAGGGTCGGTTCCCTACATTGTGAACTTGCAGCAGAGATGAATCATCTCTTCATTTCATTGTCGAGTATCTCAAAAAGGAGAGAGGCAGGAAGGAAGATTCCAGACAGAAAAGCCAAGCTCTAGTTAAATGGTGATACAGGGGCGCCTGGGTGGCTCAGTCGGTTGGGCGTCTGCCTTCGGCTCAGGTCATGGTCCCAGGGTCCTGGGATCGAGCCCCACATCGGGCTCTCTGCTCAGCGGGTAGTCTGCTTCTCCCTCTGCCGCTCCCCCAGCTTGTGTTCTCTCCCTCTCTCTCTCTCTCTGTCAAATAAATAAATAAAATCTTTAAAAAAATGGTGATACTAACTAGAAAAACTAAGCCCTTTGCCATTTGGGGGAAAAAACACTTATCTGATCTCATTAAATTATAATTAATAAGATATTTTAAAAAGAAAAGTCACTGAAAAATAGAAAAATATCTTTGATGTTATAAAAATGGGGCCTTTTAAGTGGGAAACATTTGTAAAAACCTTGTGTTTAGCTCTTTCAATTACTGAAAAGGAAAACATATTCTAAAAGCTGTGAAATAGAACACATCTATAACAGAAATGCCTACTCACAGAGATATATTGACGTTCTATAAGTTTTGAAATAGGAATTTTCTCAGTTTGGGTTGCCATAGCAAAATACCATAGATAAGGTGGCTTAAACAGCACAAATTTATTTTTTCACTTTTCCTGGATTGCAGAAGGCTGTCTTCTCAATATGTCCTCACATAGCAGAGAGAGAGAGAGCAAGGTCTCTGGTGTCTCTTCTTATAAGGGCACTAATCCCATCATGAGGGCTCCACTCTATGACCTCATTTAAACCTACCTACTTCTGTGTCACCTGGGTGGCTCAGATCAGTTAAGCATCCAACTCTTGATTTATGTTCAGGTCATGATCTTACGGTCGTGAGATCTAGCCCTGTGTCGGGCTCTGCACTAGGCATGGAGCCTGCTTAAGAGTCTCTCTGCCCCTCTTCCCTGCCAACAAAACCAAACAAACAAACAAAAAACCTAACTACTTCCTAAAGGCCCCATCTCCAAATACCATCACATTGGGGGTTAAGGCTTCAATATATGAGTTTCAGGGGGACACAATTCAGTACATAGCAGGGATCATATCCAAACACCTTTCACTTCATTTTCCCTCTTGTAATTGGAATGTTGCCTGGCCCCATTAGCCTTTGGGTATAAACAATGTCACATTAATACCCAGATTACAATTGAACCCTTCTTTTTGACCCCTAAGTTCTCAGCCCTACCTGGGCAGTGCCCCATCGATGTTCAGGACTGAGTTCATCAGTACCAGGTCCCCCTTAAGCCTGCTGCTCTGCCAAGCCCCCCAGCCTCCCCCCTTGGTGCATTACCCTGCACCCTCACAGTGCCATTTGGTGGTAAGTGTGCATGGAGGGGTGGGGTGCGGGTTGCAGAATGACCCCTTCCCAACCCTGAATCATGTTGTTACTGGGGTGCTTGTCAGCATTATTTTTTCACCAGAATAATCACGTAAACAGCTCCTTCAGCTCCTGGTCCTAATCCTTCTCTCTACTGAGACTCAAAATTGATCCCCTCAATTCTTCTTTTCTTCCTCATCTCTGCCTGGGGCCCCTAAATTGAAATGTAACAAAACAAACAAAAACCCAACAACATTCCTTTCCATCTAAAACCAAAGCTCCAGTGACTATCAATTCAGGGACACAGACAAGCTAGGTGGATCGCACCTGCTATTTTTTTTTTTAAAGATTTTGTTTATTTATTTGAGAGAGAGAATGAGATAGAGAGAGAGAGCATGAGAGGGGGGAAGGTCAGAGGGAGAAGCAGACTCCCTGCCGAGCAGGGAGCCCAATGCGGGACTCGATCCCAGGACTCCAGGATCATGACCTGAGCCGAAGGCAGCCGCTTAACCAACTGAGCCACCCAGGCGTCCAACACCTGCTATTTTCAAAGACAGAGTCTGTGAGTTCTGGTTTGGACTTCACCTGGAACCTCCTGCCACACTCTGCATTTTAATAATTTAAAATCATTTAAGATTTATTTATAAGTATCTATGAACACAAAAGTGCTAAATTACGAAATACTTAGAAACAGGATCTAGTGAAGTTGTAGGCCTCACTGGGGCAGTGTTGTATGGGCACCTAGGCGACTAGGAACACGGGCCTTCTCTTCCTCTGAAGGCAACTGGGCCCAAGTTCAGAGGAGTCATTCACAAACTTGCTTTTGTGACATCTTAAGATTTATCTCAATTGTATCCAGAGCGGTCTTGAAAGTCTGGAAATAAAAAGTAGCTGAATCATTTAAATCGTGAAAAGAATACACTACAAATTAGTATTTGAATTACTTTGAGCAAACAGTATGTTGTAAATTACTATTTGCATCATTTTCATTGAGAAAATAATGCTCTGGAAATTACTCTTTGAGGAAAAGAGGGCGTCATGGAATCAAACCACTAGCAGGGAGTCAGATATGATTTTGGGCGAATTTCCTACTTTTCTCTGCCTGGTCTTCCTTTTTGAAAACTAAGAAAGATAATAATTCCTCCTTCCTGGTTTAGTGTGAGGATTCAATTAATCATATATAAAGTTTTTAAAACTGTGCCTGGCATACGGTAAGTGCCATAAAAATGTTTGTTATTAAAAAGAATTTATGCAGAGAAGATTAGCATGGCCCCAGCACAAGGGTAACAACACAAAATTCGTCAAGTGTCCCATATTGAAACAAAAAAGTATTTATAAATTTCTCGAAGGAATTGGTCTCACAGATTAGTTAGCAAAGAACTTTCAAAGCAGAAGTTATATTATTACCAGAACTCAACAATACTTTTTATTAAGTTCCTTTTCACTTATGCTTAATTTTCTTATGGGTCAAAAGTTTGGGAAGCGCTGAGTTGCTGAGTTAGACACATGCCAATGAGGATTCCTTACTAAGGACTTCTCAGACCCATTCATGCTCTCCTGTGTCCTGATATCTCCAAGAACTTCCCAAATGTATTTGAAAACAGTCTTGAGAGATTAATGGTCTTTTATTTACAGAGTCTTGAGAGATTAATGGTCTGTGAAATTCACTTTAGCATTTTAAATACCACCTCCCCCCACCCCCCCCACCCCCCCCACCGCCGCCGCTTTTGAAAGATGGAGTGGCTCATCCTGAAGGAATTCTCTGGCAGGAGCAAGACTTACAGAAGCATCCTCTTAGGTGGCCCAACAAAGCTCAGGATGAGCAGCCCGTGTTATGACCACCACCATCATCATAACTCAAGCAATAAGACGTAACATGTGTGCAGTATTTTACAAAATGCTTTGTCTCATTTTCCCTTTCAAAAAAAAAAAAAGCAAAAGCTGAAGGATTATTTTTATTTCTAGATGAGGAAGCAGGCTGGGAGGACAGAGGTATGCACAGCTAGGAAAGGGTCCCCCAAACCCAGCAGGCAGCTTGGAATGCTCTCCTCCTCCCCAGCACCACACCGCTGCCTGCCGGCTTTCCAATTAAGCAATCCCCCCGGGGCGAGCACCAAGGCGTCTTACATCTGACCTCAATTAGGGGAGTTGATAGTGGAAATGCACTTTTGCGTGGCATGACAGGCCACAAGGCAATCTGGCGCGCGAGGCAGCATCCACAAAGGGCAGCAAGCATGAGGCACAGAGGGAAACTGGCATTCGGTCAAAATTTTGGTATGACGGTTTTGGGCGACTCCGTCTTGTGGGTTCTGATTTGGGGTGTTCTCCTAAAGGAGCCATCTCTGAACGCCATAACTATGCAACTTATTTATACACAAGTTTATAGCACCGCATGCTCAGGGGATGTTCCTTAATAAGAAACTCAAAAAGCACAACTTTCACTAATAATGAATAGCAGATGCTTATTTTTAAGCTCTACTCAAAATAATCTAGTGCTCTTAGCAAAAAGCACTAGTTCTTTCTCGTCATCTCTAAAGGATATTACTTTCTAGAGACTGTTTTTTTTTTTAAGATTTTTATTTATTTATTTGAGAGAGAGAGAGTGAGAGAGAGAACATGAGGGGAGAGAGGGTCAGAAGGAGAAGCAGGGAGCCCGATGTGGGACTCGATCCCAGGACCCTGGGATCATGACCTGAGCCGAAGGCGGTCGCCTATCCAACTGAGCCACCCAGGCGCCCGAGGCTGTTTTTAATATATCCAATTAGTAGAGAATTATTTTGTCCTCCTTTCAACCTCATTAGATGTGTAACAGAGTTATCAGAAGAAAACTGAGGGGTAACCCAGTGCTCAGTTTACTCATTGGTAAATCAGGTATATTAATAGCTCATAACGACAGCTGCTCTTGGCCCAGCACCATTAAAACGCTTGATAGAACTGATCTTATGTAATCTGTGGCATCGGAAAATCATTATTAATATCCCCATTTTACAGATATGAGAATCAGGGTTTAAAGAGGTTGAGTAACTTGCCCGCTGTCGTGCATCCAAGGCTGATCTGACTGCATCTTTACCAAACACTCTTGTGAGCAGCTTGATCAAGACTGTGGCTTTTCTGCTCATTGCTCCAGGCCTGGCCCAGTGCCCAGCACATAGTAGGGGCTTTATACATGTGTGTCAAGTGACTACATAAACAAGCAAGACTCAGATGCCTCAAACACTGGCTGACTTCACGAAAAAGTGAGTTTAACAAAGGTATTTTGCTTCAGATTGGATAAAGCAACTTGCCTAAAAGACCAGAGTGAGGCAGCCCCTCTCTTTTTGGGGGGCGCTGGTATAGTCTCGGCCTTCCTGCATACCATTTCTAGCATTTACAGTCATGATCGCCTGCACTCACTAACAAACTGACAGAGAAAGGGCCTCATCCAGGACACCCAAGTGGGGACCCTGACAGTAGCCAAACCTCTGAGGAATGGACAATTGAAGACTCAGGGCTTTTTCCTGGGTGGTTCCCTACCCAGCCACTGTTTTTGTCCTTTCCAGCCAGTTGGCCACCCTTAATCTTCTTTCATACAGAAATGCTGGAACTGAGTTTGAGAGTGGGCTCTTTCCCTCTGGAGGTCTCACTGGTTCACCTGTGGGAAGGCCCCACCCTGGCCTGGCCCTGTGAGTGAATTCCAAAATATGGAGTATCTGTCTTCCAGGGCGTCTGCAGCACCCAGGTTCCACAGACGGGCAGGGAAAGGGGCCTGTGTGCAAATCTGAAAAGGCTGGTACCACAGGACGGGTGAATTATGAAAAACACTCCCTCCCTACCGATGTTGGGAAAAGGCCCTTTCCTGAGGGGCCAGGTCTACACAGCCCCACTTCGGTTGGAGAGGGGTTTGCTTTTGCAGGGTGTGTCTTGCTCTCTGGGGACTGCTAAGAAGTTTACAGCAGTTCTTTACTCCAGGCCTCCTGGGATAAATCCCCTCTACTCTGCAAGTGGTGGAAAACCGGGCCTCATACTCTCAGTCCAACTCTCTACCCATGGCAGGGCCTCAGCCCTTTCTTTTGTGGCTCTAATAGAACTGCCTAGTTCTTAAGTGCCTTCCCAAGCTCAGAAAAGTCCTTTCCAGACCTCATGAAGTATCTTCACCCCCTTGTTTTTCCCTAGCAAAAGGTGTTTCCAAGCATTAGCATATCTACAGCAATTTCACCTGAGCATTATCTAACTCTCCACCCCCCCCTCCAGCTCCGAGGATGTGAGTTCCAGGAGGGTGGGGGCCATACCACTCTTGGGTCACCACAACATTCTCAGGCCTTATCGGCAGCCTGCCCATGCCCCTGCAAGGCAGCAAGAATGGGCCAAAGCAGGAAAGGCTCACTCACTGTAGATTCCAGAGTCTGGGGACCACGGAATCACAGAGGGCAAGTGGACACGCTAATTTCTGGGGTAGGTGGCCTGTCACGTTGGGGGAAGAAACTGAATGCCAGAGGGACTTCTGGAAGGCAGAGGGGAGTGGTGGAGGGTTTCCTATGCCTGGGGACCATTAGGTTCCAGGGGTGGGGGAAGAGGCAGGTGGCAGTGAGCAATATGATTGGCTGAAGACTGTGGAGGTTGGAAAGGAGCTTGGGAGGCTGCACCTCTAGCAACCCCCAAAGAACTCTTACCTGTGAGTATGGGCAGAGTAAGCAGATAATGGGATTGGTCTTGGGTGGACAACTGGCAAGTGGCATGCAGGGGGATATCAGGCAGCAAGGGTGTTTGGTGTGCCAGCAAGAAAAAAATCCAACATGGCATGATGGAGGGACCCAGCCTAGAGAGGGAAGCAGAGGAGGCCAGAAGGAAGGGCTGAGGGGCTGGAGGTGAAGGTGAAGTAAGAGTTCAGTGGGAGTCAGGAGGTGGAATAATATGTATGTGGAGGTGAGGGGTTAAAATCGAACACACATATTAGGCTCAGGCCATTCAGAGGGTGTGGCGCCTAAAATGTGTTAAGATGGCATTGGGATCACGAATTAAGGAGGGATAGAAACGGAGAGGCTATTTGTAAAAGTGAGAAAATATTTCTTATCCTCAATATCTATCAAGTGCTCCCTCACTGACAGGACTGCAAGGTCAGCAGCCAGAGAATGGACCCCGGAGGAATACCAATTGCTCTGCTCCTTTGTAAGGGATAGAGAACCATGGATTTCCAAATTCAAAACACCCATCCGGCTGCTTCTACAAATCCTCGAATAGGGCATCAGGCCAGAGATACACAATTTTTTACCCCAAGTATCTTCTGGAGGACTTCGGTAACTTTGTAGAGCTCCGAGTACACGCCAAGAACTCAAGCCGGAGATGTGCTGTGTGTGTGTGTGTGTATGCGCGCGTGTGTGTAAGGGTCAGAGACGTGCATTCCCGCAGCGAGGGCGGCCTCAGACGCAAATGCCCAGCCCCGCCACCCTGTCGCCCGCTGAGAGGATCTGGCCGCCAAAGCCTGGAAACAAAAAACAAAACAAAACAAAAACCCATAATGGATATCCCCAGGGGTCTTTTTTTTTTTTTTTTTTTTTTTTCCACCTAGTCAGCCGAGAAAACAAGCGTTCCACTTGCCCGGAAATTAGATGCACAGGGTACTCATTCCACTCTGGAGGATGGGAAGCGCTGCAGAAGCGAGACTGGCTGCATGTGGGGACACGGTTCCCCCAAAACGAAAAAGGACATCCCCAGAAGCCACGTCTTGCTGGTGGCCACTGTGGCGGCGCACGGGCTCCGCTCTCCCGGCGCCCTGCGGCCCCCGCCGGGCGGCCGGCGCGCCACCCGGCCAGGTGCATCGGGCCCGGCTCCGCCAGCGGCGCGCGCCTCCCGCCGCCGGGCACGGGTGGCCCCGCAGCCGAGATTTACCGCGGCTCAGGGCGGCGGTTTCCGGGGCCGCCCGGCGCCCGGGCTCCGATTACAGGTTCACACGGGGGGCCCGGCCCGCGGCCGCCCAGCCCCCGCCGGCGCGCCCTCGCGCGGCCCCGCTCCCCCGTCTGCCCATTCTTCTCCATTCATGCGGACGCCCAGCGCCGCCGCCGCCGCCGCCAGCGCGGCCGCCGTCGCCGCCGCCGGCCGCCCGGATTGGCTGGCGGCCGTGGCGCCGGCACTTTCCCACGGCCCGCGGCGCGTGCGGCTCACCGGCGGCGCTGCAGGCGCGGCCCTGGCGTGCGGCCAGGCCAATCGGGGCGCGCGGGGCGGGGCGGGGCCGCGGCCGTCGGCGGGCTTGCGTCCCGGCCCGGCCTCCCCCGCCTGCCCGCCGCCGGCCCACAGCCGCCGCGCCTCCTCTTCCCCACCATCCCCGCCCCCCCACCAGCGGAGAC